TGTCTGTAGGTGTGGCAAATCACCGAGGAGCCGGCGGCGCCACGGTCACAGGACCTGAATTCAAGGCATGCAGGCAATAGAATCACAGCCGCTGGATTGCTTCCTTTGTAGGCTAGGCTGCCACCAGCGTACTGAATCAACGCAGTTCGACGTTGCTGCTGCCAGAATACAAAGCAAGTACGCAATTCAGTTCAATGATGTTCTGTAATTTTAGTTCGTCTCGTCAGATTATGGTTGAGGGTAGGGTTGGGAATGCATGTGGGTGTTGTCCGTATGCGCGGCAGGTCACTGAGGAGCCGGCGGCGCCACGGCGACGAGACCTGAATACAAGGCATATACTCATACAGCTGCAGCGATCGATGTTCTGCATCCGCACGGCAAAAGTTTATCATCCGGATTACTTCATCTTGCAGGCTAGGCTTTGATGCTAGCACTAAATTCTGAAGGCAAGCTGTACTGAATGAACCAAGCTCGAGGTGAAAGCTACCGCCCTCTGCGAAGCTTTAGCAGTATCTTCATTGAGACACTGGCGAGCAGTCGGTTTGTACAAGTCAGGGAGTGTCGAACAGGCTCTCAAAGCCGTTCTCAAAGTCCGAGGTGCCTGGCTGGCTGTCATCGCTGGATGAGGGCTCGGCTTCGTCGGCCGAGGATGATGTGTCGCTAAGAGGTCCTGGCTTTATATGCTCCTCGGGGCTTCCCGGCCCACCCACCGGCAGCCAGTCCGTTGTGCGGATGCTGCCCAAGAGAAAGATGTCTTCATGGCTTTTCACCCTGGACGCACCTACGTAGGCATAGCCTCTGTCGGGGACCTTTTTGTCCAAGTGCAGTCCCACTGCATCCATGGTGGCGCCCTGCGCGCGCCGGATTGTGGTGGCGTACGCATAGGCAACCGGCATGAACTTGTGACCATCGANNGGTGATCGGGTGAACCAGGAGAAGCTGGTTCTGGATCGTCTCGAAGATGAACACGTCTGGCCGTAGCACTGTTCTCACGGTCCCGACGTTGCCGTTCACAAATCCTCTATCTTTGTGAACGTTGTGGGTCAGGCGAAGGCGCATATTCGGCTCTATGACGATGCGACTGTCTGCACTGGCAGTGGGATCTGCGGGCAGACCGCCGCCTT